ATAGCATCATATCATACAAACACATAAACATATCACAGGGAGTAACAACCCTAGATGAATATCACATAGACAATCATCTAGTCATACATCTCCTACTGGTGGGCCGGCATTATGGCCTTAGACCCACCGCTGCTGGAAGGTAACTCACCTCGGAGTAGCTGCTGATCTTCGTGGGAATAGTTGACTGCTGCTGCTGCTGTTCCGAAATCCTCCGGTTGTATTCCCACCAAACACTTAGTCAAAAACTGCTAACTGACCTTTAGGTAAAATGACCATTTTACCCCTAATCATGCCCTAAGTCAAAGTCAGAGTCAACTTCCAGTTGACCCGACTCGCCGAGTCCATGTCCAAACGACTGACCTGAATTCTGTTTCTACTCGTCGAGTTAGGCGTCTACTCGACGAGTTCTCCTTCCAAACTGATGTTCAAGTCCTTCATCCCACTCGCGAGTTGTATGAACAACTCGCCGAGTTCATCTTCATCCGATGAACAAGTTATACTGTGACTCGCCGAGTTGTATGAACAACTCGCCGAGTCTGATCTTGATCTAAGGAGATTGCCTTAAACTCGTCGAGTTGGGCATCGACTCGCCGAGTTCCACTATGGGTGAGTTTTGGCTTCCAACTCACCGAGTCCCTCCTGGACTCACCACGCGACTCGACATAACAAAAAGGGAACAAACCTAGAGACTCGTGACTGGACTCGCCGAGTCAGATGAGCGACTCACCAAGTCCGCTCCATGCAAGAGCTAAAAATGCGATTTTGCTCGAATCCAATCCATGTCATTCGTAGATCTGGGCTCCCAGAGCATGATTAACACGTAAAGTTTCCAACTTTACGTGTAGATATCCATCTATGGGGTTTTTAGGGTTCAAAATGCACCAAAAGAGTAGATCTAAGGTTTATATGCAATATGGGCTCATAAAGGTAGTGGATCTGAGCTCCTGGAGCTCAACTATGCTTGGATCTAGGGACCAATCAACTGATTTCGAAATATTATGCACATACAAGCTTGGAAATGAGCCATGATGGACTTTAATGGGGCCATAAGCATGGAGACAGGGGGAAAACGAGCCATACCTTAGATATCACTCAGAAATTGCTCCAAGTGCTTGACCTCCTCTTCTTCTTCTTGATCTCCTTCCCTACACACTCCAATCTCCAAGAGGACACACCAAATGGCTTCAAATCCACAAAACAAAGCTTAGAACGAGGTATATGGCTCTTAGGGTGAATGGGGGCTGGCTTGGGGCGGAAAGGGGGATTAAATAGGGTGCAAACCCCTGAAACTTAGGGTTTCATCCAACAGCGGTGACTCGTCCGAGTCCAGGATATGGACTCGCCGAGTCGCCAACTTAAACGTGTCCCGGGTCCCGTCCCTACTCGGCGAGTCGGACCTATGATTCGCCGAGTCCAAGGCTTAAAAAGGAAAAATACTCAATCAAGATTTACATACCAGGAACCAGGTGCTACATAGAGCATGTTCCGTAAGTGAATGACGTATATTTAAATGGCATTGGCAGAAGATTAAACAGGGCGTGAAAACCTAAAATCTACTGAAATGTTAAATAGGGCGTGAAAACCTAAAATCTACTGAAATGTTAAACATGGCGTGAAAACGTGAAATCTACCGAAATGCTAAACAGGGCGTGAAAACCTTAAATATATCATATTGATAATCAGAAATTATATGTCTTTTGTGCCATTTGGGCCAAAACTTTATTGATGCATATCAAGTATTGAAATCGTTATGTCTCATTGATCGTAAATCTTTGAATCAAATCTTGAGTTGATATTGAAAGCCTGACATATGATACGCATATGCTATTGTTGTTCTTGTTCCCATTTTCTTCTGTCATATTGGTATATATAAGGCATAAGATTATATTGTATCTATTTATTGAATTCACTAAGCGTTATCGCTTATCCCTTTCAATGTTTAACAATTGCAGGTGATGAGTATCCAATATAGTTTTATACTGCTGAAAGATTTAGAATAGTTATTACTATTTCTCTATATTTTGATGTTCATATATGTATATGAATAGTAGATTCCTGGGTAGACATGAAATTTAATAAAGCTTAGTCGGTTTGTATCCAATCTTTTGTAATCACTTTATCAATATAAAATATTGTTTTATAAATACGCATGTAGCATGTTTTGAGGAAGTAACTTAAGAAATTTTATCAGAAATAGTATGAAAGTTTGGGTCTTTCATAAATACGAAAGTTGGGGTCTTTCACGCACCCATACTGTCTCTTCCAAAAGGGACAGAGGACTTTGTTGTATACTGCGATGCATCCAACCATGGACTAGGCTGTGTGCTCATGCAATAGGAAAAAGTCATTGCTTATGCCTCGAGACAACTTAAAGCACATGAATTCAACTACACCACTCATGATCTGGAACCGGGAGCAGTTGTATTTTCCCTAAAAATAGGGAGACATTACCTTTATGGTACCAAGTACATTATCTTCACCGACCACAAAATCCTTCAACACATCTTTGATCAGAAGGAGCTCAACATGAGGCAATGACGATGGGTAAAGTTGCTAAATGATCACGAGTGTGAAATTCGCTATCATGGTAAAGCCAATGTAGTAGCTGACGCCCTTAGCCGGAAGGAATATTCAACTCATAAGGTGAAGGCACTAACCATGGAAATCCATTCCCAGTTGTCCACCCAAATCAAAGAGGCTCAACAGGAAGCCTTTAAACCAAAAAATGTAGTAGGTGAAGCCTTGTGAGGAATGGAGAAGAACTTTGAGATCAAGGGAGACGGAGTTCGTTATTTCATGAACTGGATATAGACCCCAAAATTCGGTGGTTACAGGGAGGTTGTCATTGATGAATCCCACAAAACTCGATACTCCATCCACCCAGGTTCAGATAAGATGTATCTAGATCTAAAGAAACTCTATTGTGGCCAAACATGAAAGTAGAGATTGCTACCTACGTGGGCAAGTGTCTAACTTGCGCCAAGGTCAAGGTAGAATATCAAAAGACCTCGGGTTTACTCCAGTAGCTAGAGATACCTAAGTGGAAGTGGGAACGGATCACAATGGATTTCATTACCAAGTTGCCCAAGACGCCGAGTGGTCATGACACTATTTGGGTGATCATTGACAGACTGACAAAGTCTGCCTACTTCTTGCCAATCAAAGAGATTGACAAAATAGAGAACCTAACTAGAACTTACATCCGAGAGGTAGTATGACTGCATGGTGTGCATATATCTATTATCTCAGACAGAGATAGTAAGTTCACCTTGCGATTATGGCAGTCCCTACAGAAGGCTTTTGGAACTAAGCTAGACATGAGCACAACTTATCATGTTTAAACTGACGGGGAGAGTGAGAGAAACATTCAAACTCTAGAAGACATGCTAAGAGCTTGTATGATCGACTTTGGTAAAGCATGGGACACTCATTTACCACTGATTGGGTTTTCATATAACAATAGTGATCACACTAGCATCAAGGATGCTCCATTCGAAGCCCTTTATGCTTGTAAGTATATATCCCCTCTGTGTTGGACTAAGGTGGGCGACACACAGATAGCTAAAGGGCAAGTCTCTGATAGCATTGTCACTGGCCCAGAAATCATTCAAGAAACCATGGAAAAAATAGTACAAGCGTGAGAATGATTGAAAGCTTCAAGAGATACGCAAAAGAGCTACGTAGATAAGAGACGAAAACCCTTGGAATTCAAGGTTGGTGACCATGATATGTTGAAGGTCTCAACTTGGAAGGGCATGATATGCTTCAGAAAGCATGGAAAGCTAAATCTGAGGTACATTGGGCCATTCGATATCCTCTCTAGGATCAGCCTCGTAGCATACAAACTCCGTCTACCACAATAACATAGCAACATATATCCCATCTTCCACGTGTCAAATCTAAAGAAATGTCTATCTGAAGAGACTCTTTTGATTCCTCTCGATGAAATCGAGATAATTGAGAGTCTTAACTTCGTGGAAGAAACAGTAGAGATCATAGATAGGGAAGTCAAATGAAAACAAAGTTACATACCAATAGTGAAGGTTCGTTGGAATACCAAGCGGGGACCTGAATTCACTTGAGAGCGACAAGACCAGATGCAATAGAAATACCCGCATCTCTTACCTAGTCCATAATTTATTCACTATAGAAAGAATTTTGGGACGAAATTCCCTCTAACGGGGGGATAATGTAACAACCCGTTCTTTCGAGTCAATAAAAGTCAATGAAATTCACACTAGTTCAATCAAACCTTACACTAGATCTAAACAAAGAGTTACATTCATTCATATTTACGTTTAATACTTAGCTTAAATTATAATGTATCTTAATATATTTGTGGTTTTTAGTCCAAGAAATTTTAAAGGAAAACCCTAACCTGGCATAAATGAAAATTTACATTTGCAACCCTTGTTGTAATTGCAACATCTATAGCCGTAAGGGTTGTCTATAATCTAGTAACTAAGCATGGTTTGAAACCTAGGTTAATTTATGTTAGTATAAAACTATATAAATCAAAGGATTAAGGACTAAAACATAAATATACATCTTATAAAGGGGTTCTCGGCTATAGAAGTCAATTAAACCACTTGAATCCGGTCATAGGAATTGAAATAATGGAGAATTTGGTTATGGGAATCTAAACACAATGGTGTTTTCGGACATATAAACCAAAAATTTGTGTATTCTGTCTTGGCATGACCGAACACACAAGAATAACGTCCATTAGGACCGAATTGGGCCTTTGGGTTCAAGAATTGGGTTTGGCTTGTGATGGACCATCTGGGATTTTATGGTTTGGGGTTTTAGCTTGTTGGATCTTGTTGAGTGAAGGTCATTCGGCCCAATTTGGAAAATCGGGCCATAATTAGACTTAAGGAGTTTATTTTGATATTGGACCTTTTGTCATCTAGTTTGGGCCTTGGATTTAGGCCATGCTTGAGGAAGGGTAAAAAGGTCTTTTACCTTGTTTTGGACTTATTATATGAGTCAGTGACTAGATGTTGATGATTTCCATTTTTGTATCTGCTAGCGGATTTGTAGCTAGAGGTTATTCATGGAATCAACTATTGTTGGGGTGTTGTCTTGATGATGATGGTTCGGGATCTGGCAGTCAGCGGTCAGGGATCATCTATGTGGTCCGGCAGCGCGAGGTGAGTTTTCCTCACTATACTTACAGGGTCGAAGGCACCAATGCCAAACCTTTTTGGATTGTACATTGGTTATAGGAAGATGTTACATTTAGTGATCTATGAGATCGGTATCCTAGTATATATGATGATGCTATGTTTAGCGATCTGTTAGATCGGTATCCTTGTATATAGGATAATGCTATGATTAGTGATCTGTAGATCGGTATGACTGTCTGTACATGCTAGCTAGCGTATGATATTTATGTGTTGATTGTGTGATTACGGGTGGGTTGAGGTGGTCCTGTTTTGTGCTCTAGGCCAACAGATCCAGGGTGGCCCAGATAGACTGAAGGCTCACCAGGGCGTACCAGTCAGGCCGAATGCCAGGAGAACGGTCCACACAAGCCGAAGGCCTTGTTGGGCTGACCAGACATGCTAAAGATTCTGAGAGTGGGCCAAATAATTGAAGGCCTAACGAGGGCGGTCAGTCATACAGAAGACTCTGTATGCATATTGCCTATTATGTTATTGTTCTAGTTCGTATGGCGTTGGTATTTTGGGGGAACTCACTAAGCTTCGGGCTTATAGTTTTGGATTTTGGTTCAGGTACTTCAAATGATCGCAGGAAGGCGAAGGCTTGATTGTGCGCCTCCTTACATTTTATGATTTTGATTTTTGGGATTCTTTGATATGAAACTATTTTGAAAACATTTTGTGATAAGTAATGGTTTTTGGATGCTTGAAAAGGTTTTAAATTTTTATGAATTTTATGGATGTTACATTAATAATGTTAAATAAGTGCAAAATGTACATTGTAATCCTAAAATTAAGTAAACTTCAATATTAAATTAAGATATTTTATTTCTACTTATAAAGTTTTGTCTTTAACTTTTAACATATTATAATTAACTTATTAGTTTTGATATGTTGTCTTATGTGAAAAATTATTAGTTTAAAGTCATAATTTTTGAATGTTTGTATAAAATACTCAAATTGTTAATTTAAATATATCATTAACTTGTTAACTTAAAAAAATTGTATCAGACTTAAAGAAAATCCAACGACTATTTTGTAAATAGTTATAACTTATAAGTTATAAATTATATTGTTAAATGTAAAACCTAAATTGTAATCCCAAATTAACTAAAATATTTCCTAAAACCCTTTTTATAAACATGAATAATTTCTAACTAAATAGCTTATAAATAATTTACAAAGTTTAATTTTGAACCCCTTAGTGCATAGTTCTTTGCTGTCATTGGTTGTTGTTGTTTTTTTTGTAATTTTGAACCCCTTAGTGCATAGTTCTTTGCTGTCATTGGTGGTGGTTGTTGTTTTTTTTGTAATCTGTATTTTTCCAATGATAGTGGGCGGTGCCATTACTATTTACGTGTTACGTCTTTCTGTTCTTCTCCTTCTATGTGTTCCAATAAAATATTTCCATAAATTTTCCACCGACTTCATCTCCATCTCTAAAATCTCTAAACTGTATTGTTTGAAGCTTCATCCATAATGGACCAGAAAACAAACGGTTGCTCTTCTCCCATTTGAAGAGAAATTAACAAACTGCAATCAACCAAAATCACACTCTACTTCTTTCTTTGTGTCAAGCACCATCTTCGCTCCCTTATTTTCCTTTTCTTTTGATTCAGTCGTAGGTAAGTTTCAAGGATGTCGAACCGGTATACCCTACTCCTCTCTTTTTAAATCCATCAAGGTTCCTCTTCACCTTTATTCTTCTTCTTCTTTTTTTTTTTTGGTAGATTTGGTTGTTACCGGTCGTTTGTCGTTGTTTAAAGGGGTATGCCAGGGGTCAAATTAGGGTTCATGAATTATAGATTTATGAAATTCTGATGATGAGAAGATGTCGAGCAGTGAAGATTCAGAAGAATTTTCATATGGTGGCTGTAGATTTCAAAGGGTGTAGCAGAGGCTAAAAGATTGATCGACGATTAGTACTTCAAATGGAGATTCGAAGGTGTTGTGTGGAAGAATTCATTGGCCATATACGTTTCAATATTAAGGGGTATTGAAGGTTTAGAACTAGAATCACTGGAAGATGCCACGATTCAATCAACTACCAGACAATGATTGCACCGATTGGAGGAGAAGAATGGTGAACAAATGGTAAACAAATCGGCTTAATACCAGCCGAAAGCCACTGTGTCCCAACCGAACGACCAGCAAAAGCAAAACCGGAAATCACCCACTTGACACTGTTCCTTAACATCTCACTTCTCGATGAAGAACGAGTAAGTAATATCATGTCATCTTCATCTTTAAATATAATTTAATGGATTGTGTTTTTTAGGCCTTAATGTTTGGGTGAATATGGCTACTGAATCCTTATGGGGATGTTGGTGAAGGTAAGAATAAGCTTCCAAACTTCATTTTAATGTTAAATTTAATAATCAATTGTTATTTAATTAATTAGAAACCAACAGTTGATCTGCTATACACTTAGGAATTTGAGTTTCCTTCTTATATTCCTTTATGAGTGTGATGGCCTGTTATGACTAGAACTGGTGAAACTATCAATAGAAAATTTTGATGAAACTGAGGAAGCACACTACGTGTTTGATAAAATTCATAGTTGAAATCTAGGTATTTTTACATATTTATGTAGCTACAATGTACTTTGGTAATATAGATTTATCTTGTATACTTTGTTCATGAGCAGACTTCAAGTATTGCCACTGGTACAGTCAATCCAAATTGGCCAGGGTTTCAGGTTTCATGTCAAAAAAATCTCAACTTTGATAATTTGGTCTTCTTAAGATTTGGTATATTTTACTAAATATACGTTGTATATAAATTATAAAACACGAACAACCTTATCCTCATATGCCTCCACATAAGTAACTCATCCATATGTTGAAATGTATCCCCCTGGTGGCATTTATGTTTCATCCATATATGCATCGGGTATCTTCTTATTAATCATAGTAATATATTAATATCCTAAATTCTTTACTTTCTAAAAGAAAATAATTATAAACTTAATTTTGTGTTTACTATTTAACCAGGGGTCATATCCTTTCAATCCATATGCAATGCCTTCTCCAAATGGTGTTGTTGAGGCTTTCGTGAGTTGCCTAAAATAGTTTGATTTCTTTTCAAGAGTAAAAAATATATAACTTTTTGATCGTGAAAGGATAATAATACTCCTAGAAATACAAAAGTTGATGGTAAGTCACCAGATGGGAAGGAAAAAAAAAAAGAAAAACTTCCAATTAAAAGGTCAAAGGGTAGTCTTGGAAGTTTAAATATGATTACTGGCAAAAATAATGAGCGCAGGTTACTTTTGCTCCTGTTGCAGGAGGGATGGTTACGACAGGTTCAAGGGACAAATTTGGGGATTTTTATGTTTATTTGTATTTTAATCTAATGGTATAGTTACTTTTTCCTGCAACTTGTTCTAAAAAAACATATATATATATATTGTCTTAGCTAAATCAGGATTTTCTTTACCAGCTTCTTCATAAGCAATCCAATTGTGCTCAGGAACATATCTTACTATCTCATAAAGGGTCCATCTCTATATCACATGAGTAAAACAAGATAATTAATACATTAGAACTGAGAAAATCTTAAATTACATAGCTACATATAGCTTTAAGTAGTTTGATATATGATTATGATACATATTCTTTAGGTTTCAGTAATAAGTACTCATCGTTACACCATCAAAATAGATTTCAACAGAGTAATCTTGCCATATTGAATACCACAGGGGACGCCATGTGAGTGCCAGGTACATAAAAGTAGGGGCGTAAATGAACCGAGCCGAGCCCGAGCCTATCCAAGCTCAAGCACGACTCGTTTAATTTTGAAGAAGCTCAAGCTCGATTCGAGCCTTAAAATGGAGCTCGAGCATGGCTCCTGAACAATTTAGTTAGCTCATGAGCCTATATATATATATATATATATATATATATATATATATATATATATAGGCTCGTTTAGGCTTGCGAAACCCACTAATTGAAACTCGGTTCGAGCTCGTTTAATAAACGAGCCTCATATTTAGGCTCGAGCATGGCTCAGGCTCGTTTAATTCAATCTAAAGTTGAGTTTTTAACGATTCAATCCTAAGTAGTTTACGAGTAACTTGTATCACTTACACCCTTACATAAAAGTAAACAAATTCTACCATGTTGGTTGCCACTGTGGACACCAAGAAGGATTCAATGGTACTTTTTTGGTTGAAAATACACCCAAATGATGTAATGCGAACACATAAAATTGTCCGCTATTATTTTGATTACAAATCAAAGATAAGTTGCCTAAAAAGAAAATTAGGTAGGATTTGTTGTCATGACATTAATCAGAAAAATTATCTCCACACTTATAATAGAAGTGATCATTTGGAACATGTATATATTTTAATTTGATCGTACAATTACTATTCATTACCCAGTGTCTTGAGTAAGTTGTTAGTTCGTTTGATTTCATGTTCCTAAAAAAACATCATTTTCATGGTTTTTAATCGTTTGATGTTTCTTTGAAGCAGAGGCTAAAAGATTGATCAAGGGTTAGTATGTGTTTTATTTTATTATCAATTTTATTGTATTTAATTAATTTTTTAAACTTATTCATTTTCTATTACAGAGTCGTTGAAATAAAAGAACAAAGGATAGAAAGTGAATGTTGATATGAAATTTACATTACCTATAAAAGAAAGACAAGAATCTTTGTTTAGTAGACCTTAGGTTCTGTTTCCTATCTCATAATGTTCACTTATGCAAAACATATTACTTTGTTTTAGTGGAATATGTGATGCCTATTTGTTTGTTGACAGATTTGATGTAGATGAATTTTACACTTGCTTAAGTTAAAGTATTGTAAAGCTTGTTACTATTTTTTGTTTTTTAATAAAAGACTATGAAATATCCCCAAACCTTCACAACTCCAACACCCGCAACACAAGATTATTCCCTAGTTAAAAGTAATATTATATAAAATATTATATTTTTACATTAAAAACAAAAATATTCTTTGATGTTTTAAATAACTACAATAATATAAATTAAAAGGTTAATCAAATAATTTTTTTAAAAAACCAATTAACCATAACAACATTTATAAATAACTTTAAAGCATATATTTTATTTAATTTTATTTTTGAGTAGCATGCGAGTAAAGACCATTAAGATGATTGAGATTATGTAGTTATAATAGATTTCACATTATCATATAATTCAAAATAATCAATGTTTTATATTAAATTAGTATAAGAATTATTCTATCAAAGTTAACAACATCATTTTTATATTTAAACAACATATATTTACCAATTTATAATTGTATTATACGCAACGCGTGAATATTTTTCTAGTTTTATAATCGATTAACCCTTCCTCTTTGTACCCTCTACTTTAGAAAATGTCGTATTCCATCATTCTTTATTTTTTAAATGTCGTTTTTTATCCCTTCACTTTTGAAGCTTTTAAAATGTCATTTTCACTAATTCATTTTCAACCTTTACTGTTTAAAATGTTGTTTTGACGGTTGTACATATGTTACTTTCACCCGTAGATTTTTTAAACTTTCGTGTTTACCCAGATAATAAATATAATTTGATTTCCTACAGTTACCATCCATCGGCTTTGTAAAATCTGACTTTTTCCCCACCGCCTTTGTACTTTGTAAAATTCGTTAAGTTATAAAAAACTAATCCATGTGTTTATTTTAATATATGTATCTGTATATATTCAATGTAGTAAATGTTTCAACATAAATTTATAAATTTTTTCTGTTACTTAAGAGTATATTTGTGATTAATTTTTAACCTCAAAAATCATTTTTGTAAAAATAGTTTTTATAAAATGATTTTCTTAAAATGTATTTGGATTAGCTTTTGTGAGACAAAAGGGAAAAGTTATTTTTAAAAAAGTTTGGTTTAACTTTTATATATAAAATAACTAAACGTCACAAAAAGTCATATTTTCGTAACTTTTAGAAAATCTTTTTTTCTTCTATACAAAAAATCATTTTCAAAAGAACTTTTCTATTACTCAAACACCTTTTGTTTTTTTTGTTTTTTTTTTTTTTTTTTGACATTTTGGAAAAGTTCATGATCAAAAAATCATTCTAAAAGGAATCACAAACACCCTCTTATACAAAAACAACTTAAACAAAATTGCAAAAATGGTCCCTAACTACCTATGGTTGACAAAATAATATGGTTTTGGTCTAAAAAAATTTGATGGTGCATCAGTGTTCCAATTTTGGATACATTGTGTGGTTTTGCTCGCTATGATTGATATTTTTGTGTAGTTTTGGTCCACATCCAACCTAAATGATGAATACGCCCCTAGAATTGTTTTTTTATTTCGTTTGATCTATTTTATTAAGGTTTCTTATTTTTTAATTAAATACAAAAAACAAATAAACACCCCACCTAAGTCATCGTCCCTAGTCCACACCCATCTCACTCTCTTGGGGGGTGTTTGGCTTAGCTTTTCACAGCCCAAAAGTCTTTTTTGGAAAAGTTACAAAAAGTCAGGATTTCCTGACTTTTCCAAAAAGTTCATTTTCCTTGTATAAAAACTCACAAAGTAGTTTTTAAAACTAGTTTTGCCAAACATCTTTTGCTTTTTTTTCTTTTCCAAAAAGGACTTTTAGGCTGTGAAAAGCTAAGCTAAACAACCCTTGATCTTCCTTCTTCTTTACTGTCTTGTTAAACCTAACCTCCACCGCAAGCCTTGCCTCCGGCGACGACAACCGCCTACCTCCCACCACCTAATCTGCTAATTTCTCATCCCACCTCCCATCATCTCTCCTTTAAACCCACCATTATCTATTCTATTATGGAGATCAGCTTCACCAGCTCTTGCTAGTAATTTGGTAGTCATTGTCCACCAATGAACTACACCCATTAATGGTCACCACCAGCACTGGAGAAGAGCGATGGTGTCGTAGCGGAGATTGGAGTTAGGGTTTGCACACATTTTTTTGGAATCTTTTTGCCATAGTAGGAATGAGCGACAACGAAGTCTGAGAGGAATTCAATTATTATGGTTGTCGCTGCTTGCCTTCTCTATCACCACCTGCATCACCTGCCTTGGTCTTCCTTTTTGTTTCCACCTCCGTCTGCCTGGATATTGTTGTAATGAAGATTGTCATCTTCCATCAAACGATTGGAAAAAAAAGCTTGAAATCAACATAAATAGACCTACAAATCCATGGCTAAAACTCTTGAAATCGACACCCACTATGATTTAGGAAAGATAGAAAACAAGGTTTGTAGTGATTCAGTTGGAATGGAGGCAAACACGGGTGGTGGTTGAGTAGGTGTTCTTCATTACTCTTTTGCAAACCCTAGCTCCCATATACAAACTCTGGCTCTGGCGGTGACTCTGGTTAGCAAACTATAGCTCTGACAAAGGGTGGCATAAATACTACTTGTTGCTTAGTTTCATTGTGTTGGGTCAAAATATGGTTTATACTTTGCTTTTCTAGGCAATTATGTTTTCTGTAATATTTTATGATTTTACGGTCAGGTTTACGGCCAGGGTGGTGTTTACGGCTGTAAACAGGTTTACGGCGGTAAACCCTATTTACAGCCCGACTGTAATCCCATTCACAGCCCATGTTCAGTTAGCTCATATTCCCTAGTGTGTGTGTATATATATATACATATTATATATATATATATATATATATATATATATATATATATATATATATATATATAACGCCCGCGTTTCCAGGCTAGGCATTATCATTGATGTAATAGTCTAGGTTAACCCTTGTAACTCTTTTCGAAGTATTAATGATGAAATATTTAAGTATTATGTGTTATTTGCTTAATTGTGTGACTTAATTTAATTAAGAATAAACATAAGCGTCAAAATGAAATGTTAGATAAAGCCGATATCTATGGATAATGTTGTAGTGATTGAAACGAGGTTTCCAAATATATAAAGAATGCCGAAATCCGAGTTATAACGAAGAAGTTATGACCTGTCGAAGTTTCGCGACAGAACCAACAACGCTGAATGACGTAAAAAGTGAAATTTACGTTAGTGCGATATTTAGCCTTAGTGATCTAAGTGAATGTTGTAGAGTTCTTTAAACCGAGAGTGTGCATAAAAAGAACGCCTAAATCTGACTGCGTATGAGGAAGTTATGATTTTTCGAAGTTTCGACTTAGCGGTATGCAACCCGATTACTCGAAATAGAGATCGAGTGATATTTAGCCAAAAATTTCTAAATGAAAATTGAAGATCTCATTGATAGTAGTCCAACGATAAAAAGACAGACGAAAACGGAGTTCAGATGAAGGAGTTATGAATTTCGAACACAGTTTTTCTGTCCCGGTCTACTAAAAATAATATATAAGTAATATACTTATAATATATTAAAAATAAAGTTAAAATTAGACAATGAAGTCTAAACGAGAGTTGTAGAGCATAATCTCACTTTTGTATCGATATAAAGAATGTCGAAAATGAAGTTCGTATGCGAAAGTTATGAATTTCTGAAGTTCGGGACGCGAAACCCCAAAACTGTCAGATACCACGACATGGCAAGCAGTGCCACGATGTGGCAAGTCTTTTGACACCTCCGGGAGTCCCCCCGATGCAACTTGCGATGACCTATGTAGTGACGACCAAGCCCACGATGTGGAAAAAGGTTGCCACGACGTGGCAAGGGCCAAATCT